ACGTAACAGTAGTCATGCCCTTCTCACTACAATTTGCAATCGTATCCATTCAAAAGTGGTTCCCTCAACACATAGGCAAAGCCTGTCACTACCCATGCCAAAACCCTATATGAAAGGAAATAAAACTCTTGTAAAACCTTACGAAACTGTTGTGAAACTCTTCACCCCGAACCCTTGATACACCCGAAACTCCGGAACCCCAACCCCTGAACACTTAAACTTCGAAACCCTAAACCCCTGAACCCTAAACCCCACAACCCCAACCTAAACCCCCCCACTCCCCTCTAATATACCCTAAATACCCAAGGACCATGGGGGCTCCATTAAAGGGCCATTCCGAGGTCCTGGTACATCCCAAATCCTACCCAAATCCTAGGTTTCTGACCCTAAAGAGCACATAGATCCCCTGTAGAACCCTTCAAGGGTCCCTTCTAGAACCCTTCCAGGAACCCTATGTCCTAAATCCTACACCCTAAACCCTAAATCCCATACGCCCGAAATTTCCCAAAAGCATCCTACATCCTAAACCTTAAACCCTAAACCCTAAACTCCCTAAATCCTTACTAAAACCCATCCTTTCCCGACTCAGCCGAGTCCATTCAGGCTCACCTGGGCCGCATCGGGCCAGTCAGAGGCTTCTCCCAAAGCCTGCAAAAAGGGCAGAGGGTAAAAGGCTCCTTTAAGGGTTCCTTGAAGGGCTCCTTTAAGGGTTCCTTGAAGGGCTCCTTTAAGGGCTCCTTGAAGGGCTCCTTGAAGGGCTCCTTTAAGGGTTCCTTGAAGGGTTCCTTCAAGGGCTCCTTTAAGGGTTCCTTCAAGGGCTCCTTTAAGGGTTCCTTCAAGGGCTCCTTTAAGGGTTCCTTCAAGGGCTCCTTTAAGGGTTCCTTCAAGGGCTCCTTTAAGGGCTGCTTTAAAGGTTCCTTCAAGGGCTCCTTTGAGGGCTCCTTTAAAAGGGCTCCTTGAAGGGTTCCTTTGACTCCTCCTTTAAAAGGGCTCCTTGAAGGGTTCCTTTAAGGGCTCCTTTAAATGTTCCTTTGAGGGTTCCTTTTAGGGTTCCTTTAAGGGTTCCTTTAAGGGTTCCTTTCAGGGTTCCTGTAAGGGATCCTCAAAAAAGCCTGCGAGGGCTCAGGGTAAAGGGCTCTTGGAGGTTCATGGGTATAGTTATATAAGGGGGGTTATAAGTCCTTTTTGATAAGTTACGACTGCAGTTGCCCTGCTTTAGAACCCCGCTTATAACTACCCAAGAACCTCCAAGTTCCTTTTCGGGTTCTTTAAGGGTTTAGGGCGTAGGGTTTAGGGCTTCTGCTGCGGTTTAGGGTGCAAGGCTTGAGGGTTGAAGGTTTAGGGTTTAAGGTTTTTTTAAAATTGAATGGCACCCTTTCTCCGAAAAGAGGAGGGTTTAAGGTCCAGGGTTTAGGAGGCTTCGCCACAAGCCTGCAAAGGATCACTGCCACGGTACTAGACACGAAAAGGCAGTTTGGGTTTCGGGCTCCTGAACGGTTCCCTTAAAGGACCCCTTAAAGGAACCCAAAAAGGAACCCTTAAAGGAACTCTTGAGGAACCCAAAGAGGAACCCTTAAAGGAACCCTTAAGGAACCCAAAAAGGAACCCTTGAAGGGGCCCTTAAAGGAGCCCAGAAAGGAACCCTTAAAGAAGCCCGCAAAGGAGCCCTTGGGGCAGAGGGCTTACAGGACCATGGGACTTAGTAGCTGGGGTTACAAGCAAGGTAGCCAATTTTCGAAACATGTATTACCCCACTGGGTTAGTCTGCGAATTATATAGAGTACAGGACCTACTTGGAGGTTCATAGGCAGTTGTAACTGGAGTCATTAGTACCGAAAATGCGTTGTATAAGTACAGTTACACTACTAATAGCCGCACTTACAACTACACATGAACCCAAAACCCTATACCCTTATAGAATCCCTGTAGATCCCTTGAAAGGGTTCCTTAAAGGAACCCTAATAACTACGTATGAACCTCCAAGTAGGGTTTAGGGAAAGTTTCTGTGTAAAGGTTTACGTGCTCGGGCCACAGCCCTAGACTCTCAACGCTAAACTCATAAGGACCCTTAGGCGGGTAGGTGGGAAGGGGGGGTCTAGGGTTTAGGGTTCGAGGTTTCGGGCTACATCTTTTTCTAGATCGGGAGCCTTAATACCCATAATAAGAACTTAATTAGGCCTATTTAAGGAAGTATAGTCCTCTACCCCGCTCCCCCTTACCCCCTTCAGATCCCTATGATAGACCCCCAACCAGAAACCATAAACCACTACACCCTACACTGTCAAGCTTTAACCCCATACCCAAGGTCCTGAACCCTATACAGTAATGTAGTAACCTGATTAAGAAACCTTGGGCCTTTATTAGGGTTCCTTATATGAATCCTACTGTTTTGGGGTTACAGGCCCAGGGTTTCTTAATCAGGTGCCTACATTACCCTCAAACCAAACCTTGGATTATAGGGGCTGCAACTTGGGCTTTGACATAATAATGTCTGAAGTTCCTTTACTGAATTGTCCTTTAAGCCTTTTGAAAATCATTTACTATTACGGTTCTCTACAAAATAGTAGGGGAAATTAAAAGATCCCAAAGGACAGCCCAGTTTAGTTCTAAACTTTATTATCGTCCAAGTAGGGTTTCAAGCTACATGGTCGATGCAATAGGCTTCTTGCAGTCAGTTAATCACTTCCTGTTGTCCATTGTGCTTCCTCTCCCCCGCATCTTATTCCTTATGAAAAGGACAGAAGGACACGAGTTAAATCAAAACGAAAGCAATAACTTGTGCACAAATTTTGCCCGAACTACGTCATGACATCTGCCTTTTATGCATTCTTCAGTTCGTGTGTACACATCCGGTCTGTCATCTATGTGCTGTTGTAAGTGTTGTTCGCAACGGTGTGGAAAATATGTGACGAAGTGAAGAGAGTTTGCTGTTCATGATTGAGGCCCCTACATTACGTAAGGAACCCTTTCAAGGAACCTCTGTTCTAATTCTTAATGCCCCTACATTACATAAGGAACCCTTTAAAGGAACCCGTGCGTTGCTGAGGTTGATGTAGTCAGACCAGGTTTATTTATGGATGAAGCTCCGTTCCCACACAAAACGTAAAGCCAAAACTACGAACCCGCTAAGCCCTAAAATAAATCCAAAACCCTAAACCCTAAACACCAGACGCTAAGCCCTAAATTAAATCCCAAACCCTAAACCCTAAACCCAGTACGCTAAGCCTTAAATTAAATCCCAAACCCGAAACCCTAAACCCCGAAAACCTAGACCCACAATCCCGACACCCTAAATCCTGAGATGGCAGGGAATCTCCATCCAGGAAACGTACTGAGAACATTAAGTTTCTTGATCTGGTGCTTCGGGTTTAGTGTTCAAGCTCATGCAAAGAAGGTTTGGGAACTGAAGTTTACGGTTTACAGGTTCGTTCTACATGGCTTAAAGTTGCAGGGTTTAGGGCCGAAGCTCAGAGTGAGTACGGGGTGGGCATTTGATTTTGTACTGCTTATGCGTGCGGGCATCAACGAGTGTTGAGGACAGATTCGGAAAGCAAGGACGGTAGATAGCGAGAGAGAGCCAGAGAGTTCATAGCCTCATAGCTTCACTCTAGCGCCACGATTGCTACTCCCAACCCTAAACCGTAAAACCCAAGGAGCACTGCTTGGACTACTGTGACGACCGGTCGAAACGCGACTACGGTTGTACCAGTGCCACGGTTCAGAGTTCGGGTTTGGGCTTAGGGTATACTGCTGGCTGTACCAATACCCCTTAATTAAGGAATAGACCTTAAAATATAAGGGGGTTCATATTATGATTTAAGCTATATTCCTTAATTAGGCTGTATTGGGCTCTCTGGGTACTAGATTTACTAGATGAGCATGGTGGCCGCCATATGCCTTTTTAAAGTTTTTGGGCGGGAGATGGAAAGAGAATCTTACATCTTAAACTCCAAACCCCAAAAACCTACTACAGTGGCCAGTATGCATCAAGCAGGCTTTAGGTATATTATTGCAGAATTGTACTCGGGGTTGTATGGGAGATACTCTGAACTAATGGTTCAGACCGCAATGGTGCCGTCATCCCTACATCCTAACCCCTTATAAACCCTACAGCCAAAACCAGAAAGCCAAAAAGAGCCAAACCTGAAGACACCGAAAAGCCCTGCAGAACCCTTCTCAAATCTTTCAGGGGAAAACTGGGGAACCCTGAGAGAAACCTGCTTCAAGAAACTCGTATCTCGGCCGTCCCCTAAGCCCCAAGCCTAAACCCTAAACCCTAAAAACCCTGAACCCGAAAAACCCCAAAACCCTAAACCCTAAAAACCCGACACCCGAAAAGCCCTAAACCCTAAACCCTACAAACCCGACACCCGAAAAACCCGACACCCGACAAGCCCTAAACCCTAAACCCTAAAAAACCACACCCGAAAAGCCCTAAACCCTAAAAGCCCGACACTCGAAAATCCTTCAACCCTAAAAACCAAACACCCGAAGAAAAGCCTCACACCCAAAAACCCGACACCTGACAAGCCCTGAACCCTAAACAGTCGAGCCTTCACGTAGCGAGCGGGCATGTGCGCAGCCGCCATGTCTGAAGACAACAAGAGCTCGTCAACATCGACCTGGGAGCCTCAAAAAGCAGAGCTTAAGGCCTAATGTAGGTTTTGGTCTTAGGGTTTAAGGTTTCTGGGCCTGATGTAGGGGCCTTAAGAAATTAGAACAGTGTTTTTCGGCGTAAATTATACTATCAAGAAAGAGCCTCGTCTCTAAGGTTACAAATTTTTATAACACCTACTATGACCCCCCGGCCCTTTGAGAGACCCTAAAGGGTACATATAGGGTATACACTAAGTACATAAGGATCTCAGGGTTAACGGCCCATGCTAGGGGCGCATGGTGTCAACCTTAGATCGTCAGCAAAGCTTAGGGTTTATGGGTTCCTTTAATGGTTTAGGGGTATATGGCTTTTAGGGTTTAGGGTCTTTGGTGTATAATGTTTTCTATTTTTCTGGAATACTCTGGTGCTCCCGACACCACTTCTGTTCGGAATCGTCTAGCTCCCAGGCCCAGACCCTGTTATTAGTAAAGTCGCATGCGATCATCATGATCCAAGCATCAGCACGACCAGGCGGTTTCACCTTCTTCAAATCCAAGCCGATCACATCGCCAGCCGAAAGCGGTCGCGGCAGATGTCGGGTCTGGGGCTTCGTCATGCCACGCAAGCTGTGCGACGCACACTTCTCGCACCGAAGGACAACCCACTGACAATTCTTGTCCAAATGGAGCCAATTGTGCCCTTCAGCTCGTAGCACCTCGGTCAGGTCAAGGCTTCGCACCGCGTGCGGCTCCTGTCTGACACTGCGGTTCAAGCTGAAGCAAACGAGTGCTGGCATCAGCTCGGTAACTGCCGTCCTCACGTCGCACGGCTGCTCGACCGGCTGTCTCAAAAGTGCGCGCGAGGCCTGGCCTGATAGGCATCAACGATCAATCCAGGTTACATGGCACCGAGGCAAGAGACGTAGCACATTAGTGGTGCACCGACGTGGTCTCGGAACACGGGACCGCGCCTGCTTCTCGTCCTAAGACGATCCGCCCCCTCGGAAACCAGACCTTGCTGATGCCGCCTGACTCTTCGACCGTCGCGGTCAGTTCGACCGCCTGGTCAATGCACACACGCACACATTCAGGCTGACGGGGCCCACGCCCAACCTGCACTTCTACATACTGAGCCCAGCACAAAGTGTTTCATCACTTTGTCTCGGTCGAGAGGCAGTGGCGCGCGGCCGCGTGCAGCTTCCCCTCCTTCGTCCTCACGCCGGCGTTTCCTGCCAGGACCTCCGTTACCGCTCCAGCAACATCAACCCGGCAAATCGCACCTGCAAGCTTCCAGAGCTGGCAACTGCAGTCGCATCTGCCCCTTGGCCACATCCGAGGACCTCTCAGGAGTTAGGACCAGCACGGACGGAACGCCCAACAGGGGAACCGCGAACACATACAGAATACTCGCCGATTGCCTGTGGACTCGTCGGCTGATGCCTTTGGACTTCGCAAACTTCCGGAATTTGCCCTTCATGTCCAATGTCCTGATCTTCTTTGGCGCACGCATCCGGTGTGGTTCCCGAAACGCCATCAGCTGCGCTCGCTTCTTGCCTCCCCCCCCCCCCTGCGTCCTTTACTGCTTCACCCCCTGTTTCTACGAATGCTAGGAAGACACCCAGGTGGCTGAGACTGCCAATTGTGCAGCTCGTAGTACCTCGGTCAAGGCTTCGCGCCCACCCAGGTGGCTGAGACTGCGGTGGCCCTCCGCGAGAGCTTCGTCTCTGGTGTACCGCCAGTCTCGTCGCGCTCATTTTTGAGGTTGACGGTGTTGGGTGCTTCCTTCGGCTTCCGTCAGCGCACGGAGCCTTCAACCCATGAAAACTGCCAACCCCAGTGTCCCGTTTTAGATTCAGACCCGAAGTTTCAGTTTAAGGGATTTGGCTTTACGTCGGTAGATAACCGACAAAGCAGAATAATCAAACCTGGGTTTAGGAGTAAAGCCTAGCATAGCCTGTTCTATCTTGGCTCTCAGGCGATACTGTTAACCTAAACCTCAAACCTTAAACCCTACACCCTAACCTAAACCCTAAACCCTAAGCCCCAGACCCCAAATAAATAGTACGCAGCATGGTATCTTAGTTGCTGCTCCCTCAGTGGCCGCTTAGGGCTGTTAGTTGCCGCAGGGCTGTTCAGCTGCCACCTGAATCCCTATAAGCCCCAGCTAAAAATCAGGTCGTCCACGTACACCACCTGAATCCCTTCGTTTCTAAACCCTGAACCCTAAATCCTAAACCCTAAGCCCTAAAACCTTGAACTCCCTTGCTTGGAGGGTCCAGGGAGTTAGTAACTAGTTATTCTATAGACTTATACGTATCATAACCTGAATCAGGGTCCCTTTTAGGATACTTATAAGTCCACTTACTACCTACTTACTATCAAAGGGGACTCTTAATGGGTACCCCTACCCTATACTGCGCTATATAATGGGTATATAATAGCTATATTAAGGGTATATACCTAGGGGTCCTTATTAAGGGTCCCTCCTTTTACCCTTGGATACTAAGTCCGCCGACTCCCCAAATGAGAGTTTCCGAAAATTAGGGGTACCTTATTTGTGAGCCCTGGACCCAAAACCCCACATACTAAGCCTTGAGCCGTGCTGTGGCACCGCGGAGACCCTGAACCCTAAACCCCAAACCCTAAAGCCTTAAACCCTGCGCCCTAAATCCTAAACTCTAAAATTGTAAACGCTAAACTCCTAAACCCTAAACCCTAAAGACCTAAAAACCCTGAACTCCCTGCAAGGGAGAAACCCAGAGCCCTAAGACCCTGAACTCCCAAACCCTAAAGCCCTAAAAGCCCTAAAACCCTTGCAAGGATCAACCCAGAGAGCCCAATACCCCTTAATTAAGGAATATACCTTAAATTATAAAGGGGATTCATATTATGATTTAAGCTATATTCCTTAATTAGGCTGGTTATTTTAAGGACTTATAAGTATCATAACCCCTATTAGGGTCCCTTTGAGGGTACTTATAAGTCTACCTACTACCTACTTACTAAGTCCCCTAAAGACCCTCCAAGCAAGGGCCGAAGGCGCCTTCCATGGGCGCATACTTCGACTCTTGGGTGCCCATGAGGTTGGCCTCGCTGTCCCCAGAAAGGCCCAATACGGGAGTTTCCAAAAATTCGGGGTACCTTATTTTGGGGTCCCTATAATAAGGATCCTACTATTTAGGGTACTATATTAGGGAGCCCCAACACGAGTTCGGGGCTTAGGGTTTAGCTGGACTTTGGAGTAACCAGGGAGAGAAAAGTATAGACTTTTATTCCATACTGGTTCCTTTCAGGAACAGGTACCACAAAAAAGTATTCAAGTATGGTACTCCAAACCCAGGTTAGCGGGGTTTAGGGGTTATGAGGGTTTAGGGTTTAGGGGTGAGGGTTTGCGAACTTAGGGTTCAGGGTTCAGGGTTTCGGGTTTGGGGTTTAGGGTTGAGGGTTTTCGGGTTTAGGGTTGAGGGTTTTCCGGTTTAGGGTTTATTAGGGTTTAGGGTTTAGGGTTGAGGGTGTTCGGGTTTAGGGTTTAGGGGTTTGGGGTTTAGGGTTTAGGGTTTGGGGTTTGGGGTTTAAGAATTAGGGGGTTAGGGTTTAGGGTTTAGGTGTTTAGGGTTATCCTTAACTTCAGCAACAGGAACCCTAATACGATTTGAAAATGTGTCCTCAGTGAAGGGGCTTTGGAGTCTCTTGGGTACTCTTTTATTAAGGATTACACCTTGACATGTGCTTTAAGGGCCTTCTGGAGGGTTTAAATGAAGGGATTTATATAAGGTTCGTTGAAGGAATGTGCTTTAAACCTAGGCAGCCCGATACTCCGAATGAAGGAGTATACCTGAAACCATCATATGAAGCGCACGCAAAATTTACGGTATATTCCTTAAGTCAATCTAGTAAAGGGTTCTTGGGCTTTGAATAATAAGATTTAAGGCATATTCCGTATTCCGTGGCACAAGGCTCTCTTGTTGGGGCTTCTTGTCTTTCGAGGACTGCGCTGGGACAGCAGAAGGATTTCGGAGTTCAGGCTAAACTTAAACCTTAACACCCTAAATTTCCCGAAACCCTGAACCCGTTTAAAGGGCTTTGAGGAACGGCGGGTGTTCGGGGCTTGAGGGTTAGAGGCTACTGGTTTAGGATTTGGGATGTAAGGTTTACAGTTCCAGGTTAGGGTTTGGTTTAGGGTTTTGGGTTCATCATTTGGGAAAGCTCTCCACTTCATAGGAAGAACCATTGGGCGTTAAGCTTTCGATTTCTGGGTTCAGGTTGTGGGCTAGGCCGACCCCAAATCCTAAGCGCTGCACCCAAGCCTCATAAATATCATCTTGATCCTAAACACAAAGGGAATCCACCTTCTGGGTTCATGGGAGGATCCTTGCTGAAACTCGCCCAGGGGTTGCAGCTCTGCGATTTACGGGTATCGGGTTCCTTGAAGGCCACTATTAAGGGCTCTCTATTAAGCGCTCTGAACTGCGATTTAATCATGATTTGAGGGTTTAGGGCGCCTAAACCCCAAAATCCCCGAACCCTAAACCCCTAAACCCTTGTCAAGATTGGGCGGGGGTTTCAGGAAACAGGGAACCTTTACATAGAGCCTGAAATAGTAGAATCCGTTCTTGTCGGACTTCCAAATGTGGTACCGTAGATGTCTGAAACTTGCACATGCTTGCGGTCTCAGTCTTGCAAGTGCTTCTGGCTGCGGGCCTGCCTTGCGGAGAATGATCAATCGCCCAGCTGGATAGAGCCTGACCCAAGCCTACACACTAAACCCTGAACCCCAAAGACTTATATAACCTTAAAACCAAAACCCTAACCCTGAACCCTTAAACCCGCAACCCTGAACTATGTATAAACCCTTAACCTGAACCGTAAAACCCTACTCACCCTAAGCCCGACGCCTTAAGGGATCACGCGGTTTAGGGTTTGGTACCCTTGCTAAGGGACTAGGACAAGGTTACAGGACCCCAAGACTATGCTAAACCCTAACCTGCGAATGTACGGTGTGGGTTTACAGTGCGCTAACCTTTCGAGTGAAGCATGCGGGTGTAGGACAAACTCTCGGATTCCTGGATGACTTATCCACCAGAGGCAAGTTCAGCAATTTCGGTGGAGGCTTGTTGGTCGGGTTGAGGGTTTTGGTGTGGTGTCGAGCTTTGGATTGCAATGTAGATCCGTGCAGTCGGGGCCAAGAAAAAAACATGCCTAGCCCTCCAGTTTCGTTGCACCCCATATAGATCGCTAGAACTAGAATGTACCTTGAGGTCCCTTCGTACATAAGGATAGGGCCTAGGGTTTTCCAGTTCCAGGGCTTTGGGTTCGTATTTTCACCAGAAGTATACGTTCACCCGATCTCGGCAAAGTTGACGAAGGTAACATAGGGGCCTGAATAATTAGAATAGGGTTTTAGGGTCCGTGATACTATAATTGCAAGAAGGAACCCCGAGATTAGTAAAGGTGATCGTTGAAGCCCTAGGGTAGGTCGCTGCTCAACACCCCAACATGGAACAGCCTTCGTTTTTGTGTTCCGGGCTTAGCAGGTCAACATCAAGAAGGATTTAAACATATCATACCGCAGAACAGAAAGCGTGGAAGTATAGAGCATGTACTGCTCTAGGGCCATAATATGGGTAGTTCTCTAGAGTAGGATTAGTACGGCACCCTGATAAAAAGGACCCTGAAAGGGACCCTAATTTAGACAACTACCCATCCGGTTTTAGCTCCTACCAGGCTCCCTCAAACACACACGATAGGGTTTAGGGTTTAGGGTTACTTCGTCGCCCAGCCAAGGCACCTCAAGAATCTTGTTAGTGACAAAAAGCAAAGGGTTTTAGGGGGTTTATCGGTTTATCGTAAGGTTATATCAAGGAACCCGCTCCAGAGGGCTCCTATGCTACGTCATGTAGTCACCGAACTGGGAATGCCGCCAACAGCAAGTGCCCAACAAAGACTCGCAAACTCCTCCTTAATTAATCCTGACCAGAACCCGCCCCGTAAAGCCCCGAGAAACATCTTTGCACAAGCTAAACGACCTCAATGAAAGAAATCTCAACGCAAAATAACTCAACCCTTTGAACGAACTCACCACACCCACTGCCCAGGCTCCTGTTCGTCTCGCCCCTGGAACCCGAGGCTACCACTGCAGTGTGTGCCTCGGACATGGGCAGAGTGGAAGCTTTCAATCAAGCGCCGTGAAGCGGCTTAGGGCTGGGGGTTCAGGGGTTTTGGGGTTTGGGGTTTAGGGGTTTAGGGGTTTGGGGGTTTGGGGGTTTTGGAGTTTAAGGCTGTTTAAGGTTCCGGATTGGCTTTGGTGGCTTTAAGGTTTACCGATGCTGGGGCTATGGCG